ACATTCCACCTTGTCAAGGCATCTCAAGCTGACTGACCTGCCCTAGCTTCTCAAGAGACTCCCCCCTCTGGAGCTCTGAGGGAGAGTCCCAAGCAGCTGGAGACAGAGAAGGGAGGCCTCAGGAACATAAAGGAGAGGGACTGGGCCATCATGGCCGTCTTCACCCAATTCCATCCCGCTCCCTACCTGGTCATTCTCTGGACAAACCACAGAAGCCACAAACTTGGGAAGGAGCAGCCATGTGGCATGGGGAATGGGCGGCCTGTCCACACGGAGACCCAGGCATCTGGTGCCAACTCTTCCACCTTCTCTCTCAACAAGTACCTGCTGGACCTTGAGGTTTCGTTCTGTGACCTGGGTCCATGAGTCAGCACCTCATGTGTGTGGAGGCACCTGTGTGTCATCACCTTCCCTGTGGGCAGCAGCTTCCTCTGGGTGGGGGTCAGCCTCCCAGGGGCCCAGAGCCAGGCTGCCCCCAGGGAGCTTCTCCATAGGACTCCTTGCCTTATAGGAGCAACTGCACTTGCTTCAGACGCTTCCAGGAGAACTCCCCAGAGATGCAAGAACTGAAGAAAGTGAACTGGAATTTTCAGGTAGATCTGCATCCCTTCTCTTCCTGCCCCAGGTGAAAGGCACCTTTACTCCAGAGCAAGGACCCAAAGTCATGTATTCAGCAGGGCTTTCCTGAAAGCAAGTGCTCCCTATAGGCAGGTCACAGCCCCTGAAATATTTATCCAGGTGGATCAAACAGTAAGGCTGGGGGGGCGGGGGTGAGAAATCTCAGAAGGGAAGCTGAGAGAACTCCCACCTCCCAGCCCTCCCAGCCCTGAGGGTGGAGCAGCACTGGGCTCCCAGAGTAGATGTCATGTGATGGCTGCCATCCCCCACCCTGAGGAGGAGGAGAGCATTTACTGCCTGTTGGTCTTTCTCCCTTCTTAAGAACAGAAGGCTTAGCCCCACCCAACTTACTGTCCCCTCCATTGACATGGCCACTCTGAGCTTTTCTGCAACTTACCCATCTCATGCACAGGACATGTCATCTTACCTCTTCTAAGCTGCTTCCCATGAGCAACTTCACCCTCAGATATCTCCCCACATCAACTGCAGCCTGCACTGCACTGACCCTACCTGCTGCTCATGGTTTTTTTACATCTTGTCTCATTTTCCCAGTTGGATTATAAACTCCTTAAGAATGAGCATATATAGTCTCTTTTAGAGTCCATAGTTTTTAAATCCAAAAACTATGGACACTCATCCCCTAAGTTCACAAGCATTTGCTGGAGCAGGCATTGGACTGGAGCCCATGTTATAATTCACCTCTTCATGCAGTGTGAACAGGGGAGGCCTTTGGCCCAAGTAGTCTGGCCAGCAGCTCAGACCTAGCTTTGCAGAAACTTCAGGGTAGAATTGGGTGGTACTCCTGCCTGCACCCTAGAGCAGGCCCTTTAAGTCCCCTTTGCCTAAGGTGGGTTGGCCTCCATCATGACCAGCCCAAGGCTAGAACCTGTCTGTCCAGGCCAGGAGGGTTGAGCAGCCTCTCTCGTTTCACAGGGGTCGCCTAAGACCATCCTGCATATCAGATATTTACATTACAATTCATAACAGTAGCAACATTACAGTTATGAAGTAGCAATGAAAATAATTTTATGGTTGGGTCACAACATGAGGGACTGTATTTAAAGGGCCAGAAGGTTGAGAACCACTGTCTTAGTGTATTTTCTTCTCTACGTGGGTTTTTCTGCTTCCCCTTCACCTTTTTTTGAGTATGATTAGAACCTAGATTCATTTGGAAAGAAAAGGAGAAACTCAACATTGACCAAGCTCTTGAGGCCTGGCCCTGCTATTTGCTGGATTGGGATAGAATGGAAATCTTCCTAAAGATGTTATTCTTTGTCAACCATTAGGGCAGGGATGCTCAAGGAAAAGGATGGACTGTGGGTGGCTATCATGCATGTCTGTTTAAAAAAATAAAAATTTAAAAATTGGGGAATTTCTTCATCAGTATCTGAGCCAGTTATCAGCAGAGTTGAAAGAATGAAAGGAGATATGCCCAGGCCACCTGCTAGGTGGGTGGGGGCGGGTAGCGGTGCCCTTGTCCCAGGAAGATAATGCCCTTACCTTTGGTCACAGCGAGGAGGAGCTGACCTCACCTTCTTCTCCGAAGACTGTTTCCACTTCTCAGAACGCGGGCATGCCGAGATGGCCATTGCGCTCTGGAACAACATGGTGAGTGCCTGGGCCTAGTGGGCTCCGTCAAAGAGGGCCACCCCAGGATGTCGACAACAAACGCCTACTGGCTGCCATAGCACCTTTCTCCCCAAAGCTCATAGGGTAGCACACGTATTTGTCCTGACAGATCTGATTCTTTCAGCAATGCCCTAGCACTGTGGGGGGATATCTTTGTAATCAGGTAGACTAGACAAAAACAACGGTTTCAACCCCTTACCGTGTGACCTTGGGCAAATGATCTCTCTCTCTGGCCATCTGTATCATCATCTGTAAAAACAATGAAAATGACACTGATCTCAGAAATTGGAGGTGATGTGAAAACAGCACTCAGCACGATAATTAACATTCAACCAATGTCAGCCCCATCACTTCAGTCTCAACACATTCCCAACCCTTATTTCTTTAAACAGCAAAAAGAAAAGAGCCACCCAGTCTGTTTTCCCAGGTTGCCACCTATTCCCATCCTTTCTTAAGGTGGTAAAGGGGACCTTATACAGTGAGCATCCAGCCCAGGGGCCACAGGAACCCCTGGCCTTGCCCCTGCCCTGTATGGCTGGCTACTCACTACTGGACAACCAGCTACATTTGCACAGAGCAATAAAATGCCTTTCCAATCCTCTGGCTTCTTTTGCTTTAAACTCAGTGGGTAACCCAATCTCCACCCCCACGTGCATGTTCCCTCATTTCTCCCATGGTGACTAAACAGGCTGCACTCCTGCTCCTTTTACTGCCGTTTAGGCCCGCTGTGTCCCTGCCAACCACCGCTGTGCAAATATTCCCACACCTGTCAACTCACCCAATAGGTCCAGTATCTCACTTGGCTGACTCACAATATTGACTTTTCCCTTAGCTACACCATCTCGTCTCCTCAGAACAGCATGAAAGCCGGTTTTATCCTTGGCCTACTTCATTGCAGACTCAGCCTTCCTCTACTTTTGTTTTCTATCTGGTGACATCATATTCTGCCCACTCCTAAATCTTTCATCATACTCTCAGCCCAGGACTTTGAATTTCAGCCAAAACATCTTTTGGTTCCTTCCCACTCAACCTCCACACGGTAATTGTTTTAATCCAAGTTTGTACAGTCTAAAACAAAAATCTATGAAAGAAATGAATCGAAGTCCAGTTGTCCTTCAGTGGCTGAGTCATGTGACTTCATTCCTTTTAACAACCCCCCGCCCCCAAGAATGGGTTTCTATGCAGAATCCTATTTATCCCCCTGAGATCTCAGGGGATTCCAAGAAGGGCACAGAATGCTAAGCCCTTAGCCTTTCCTTCCCAGCATTTCCTGATGGCGTTCTGAGCCTGCCTAATGCCAGGAGTCTCCTGGGGCTTGATGACTCAAGAATGACAGGGCCCATTGGTCTCTCTGCATGAATTAAGGGTGTAGTTCTGGCCTCTTCCAAAGCAGTTCTCCCCATTCACCGAGGTGAGAGGTTTTTATACATAAAGGCAACTGGGCGGGGTTTAGATCTGAAAACAAAAGGTACGCACTGCCGTGGAGCCATATAGATAACGATACAAGACTGCCCTTGGCTCCCCTCCCATCATTGTCCCAGCCATACTTTGAATTTAAAAAACAACAAAGTAAAGCTGGACTAAAATCATCTAAGAATATCTTATCCTTTGCTATATAATTTTGGGAAATAATTATATAGTCCAGTGTTTTCATCCAAAGCCATCTCAGATATAAAGCTATTGCATCACACCAACTTTTCAGAGTATTTTCTTACTGGAATTTCACCCCTAGAGTGACATAAAATAAATAACAGGCTCGTAGAGGTCATCTGGCCAGAATGCTCTATAATTAAAACACAGAGACGTGAAGCAATTTGCCCAGGATCACACAGTTAGTGGCAGAGCAGGGGTTGAAACCCAGGTCTAGTCGCCTAGTGTTCTGGACACGGCACCACTTGGCCTTCCCACTCCCAGCCAGATAAGCTCATATGTACCCGGTGAATTCATGTCTCATAATTAGAGTCCTATGACATAGTGTCTGCAGGCTTTGGCCGGTGATCCCAGGGTACCCTACTGTGCAGCAAACACACTTTAGACTCTTCATCTCCTGCCCCTCCTCTCTTAACAGGCTGCTTCCAGAGACGTTTGCAAAGCCAGAAATATTAGCAATAGCAGGAAGTGTTTTTCTCCTCCTTTTTATTCTTTTGTCTTCTTATAAAGTTTCTCCTTATTTTTTTTCTGATGCCTAGCCAGCAG